GTGTTGGAAAGTGTAGCAGAGTCGCATTGGGTGGAAGTGTTTTAGCACTTTGCTAATGGGAAAGAATATTTCTCATGTAAATATAAGAAAAGTGGTTCAAATTGCTTGAGAAAATATGTATCTTTTCAGATTGGTTAACCATAGGCAAAATGGTAAACTGTTTACTACCCCAACTTTCCTGATTTTGTACCTTCAGTTCCCTTCTTTCCTTTTTATTATTTTGCAAACACATCATCCTATATGAACGTGTTTAAATTTTCAACACTTCTATCCACTGGAATCATAAGGTCATGGGCTATAACATCTTTCTCCTGTGAATCTTCCCTTTTTCCATCCCTTTTCTCTGCGGCCCCTGGTCCCTATATCTTTCTCACTCAAAACTTTTTGTCCTGCCACTATTCTTTCTTCTGTTTTTGGAAAACATCCCTCCTTTTCCAAAAGAAGGGAGAAGCGAATCCTGTGAGAGAAGTAGGTCAAGCTAGTAGATTTTATCAAATCTTAGCACATTCTAAATATACAACATCCTGATCAATAAAAGAAATTGAAAATATTCATGTATTAATATTTTTTTCTTTACTTGAATCTCCCACCAACCTGCTCCCTTTCAGTTAGCAAAAATAAAGGATATAGGAAAATTTAAGGAAAACAGCAAAACTGAAAGGTGGATAAATGGTTTTGATGTATTTATTGCATTAAATTTGCCCTCCCTCTTTTGGATTTCAAGGTTCTTGAAATCCAATGGACTTATTTTCCTTTTGCTATGAGTATATACAGTGTTTAACTCTTTCTGGATATCGTTTCTTTGGAAAAACTTCTTCAGAGCTATACGACTACATTTTTTGTTTTCTTTTGTCTTCTTAAGTTCCTTTAGTCTAAAAGACTATACAACCCCTTTCTCCATTAGGTTCTTTTACTAACCATTTAATCTGTGTTACTCTTGTCTTCTCCAAAAGACAGTTAGCACCATGAGATCAAAACTGAGTATGAATGAGTTAAAAGAGAGAAAAAATTTGAGATAAGCTCTTCTAACTGCAGCTGTGCATACTCAACATAATTAACTGCTGTTTAAAACTAACCAGGTCTTTCTGTCCATCCTTAGTATATGAGTGAGCTGTTTTTCCCAGGAAGTCAAGGTATAGATGTCAAGAAGAAAGGAGATTCAGCCTCACAAGGCGAAACGCAGGCCAAGGATGAAAACTAACCAGAAAAGTCCAGACTGTCAAGGAAAAAAGAGATTCAATCTTCAAGACCAAACACAGGCAGAAGACACCAGCCAGCAAGGCCACATGCTCTCCCTCCCCTACCTAAAACCCCAGCACATATTCCCCCTCCCCTACCTAAAACCCTAGCACATGCTACCCCCTCCTACCTAAAACCCCAGCACATGCTCCCCCTCCTCTACCTAAAACCCCAGATAAAAACCCCTACCTTTTTCCCTTCAAGCAGTTGGATTTGAGTTGTAACTCTCATCTCCTTGTCTGGCTGCCTTTCGACAATAAACCTCTTTCCTGCCACAAGACTGACATTTCGGTGATTTGACCTTCTTTGCCTCGGGTAATGAACCTGTGTTTGTGTTAGGTAACAAGGTCCTTGACTCTGAAGTATACTTTTGCTAATTATGGTGTTTTTTCCTGTCCGCAGGCTTTACTAGTTTTTCTCTGCATATTACATTTGACCTGTTCTTCAAAGTATGGCTTGCATTCATTTCCTCTATTAAGTTTTTAAAATTTCTTTAGTTACTTCCCAATTGTACACTGCACAACTCCACATCTGTGGTAGGCTGAATAATGGTCCCCTGCAAAGACGTCCGCTTTCAATTCCCCAGAATCTGTGAATGTTACCTTACATGGCAAAAGGAACTTTGCAGATGTGGTTAAATTGAGGACCTTGAAATGGGGGGATTATCCTGAGTTATGCAGGGGGACTCAATGTCCTTATACGAGGTAGGCTGCAGGATCGGAGTAGGAGAGAAGGCGATGTGACAATGGTAGTAGAGGGAGGAAAGGTAATGTGATGTGGGGCCATGAGCCAAGTAATGTGGGCAGCCTCTAGAAGCTGGAAAAGGCAAGGAAGTGGATTCTTCCTCAGAGTCTCCAGAAGTAACTAGTCCTGCTGACACTTTGACTTTAGCCTACTGAGAATGATTTCCAGTACTGTGAGATAATAAATTTGTGTTGTTTTAAGCTACCAAGTTTGTGGTAATTTGTTACAGCAGCCATAGGAAACTAATACAACATCATTATGTCTTTTACAATTCTCTAGGTCTGTTCCACATAATTTAGCACTTTACTGTCATACTCGCTAATGCTACTATGTATAAATGGTAGAACATAAATTCCTGATGGACAGGAACCAAAATTTTTACCTCTTTTTTTTACACCCTAAAGTGCCTAGTTCAATATTAGGTACTCAGCTATCTGGAGTGCATTATAACTTTGGTGCATAAAAGAGAATGGCCACTACCAGTGGAGAAATGAAGGGCATTTTGAAAGACATATATAACTCAATGAACTGTATTTACTTTCTTGGCATCAATTTCCAACCTTTTGATTTTGAGCTCTGTGTCACAAGCAGTACAGGTGCCCAGTAACTGCTTAACAGAGACTGGAATACAGAGGGTCCTCAACAAGCACTTGATGTGTTGAGCTGAAACCCGTGGGGGTAAAGAAGGAAAAGGAGAAAGAGAAAAGCAAGATGGGTCTGGTAGAAAGTCCTCCTAGTCTGTTTGGCTGATTCATTTTTGCCACATTAAGTGAAGTTAAAATGCTGAAATGGAACATGCATCAAATTTGTAACATGAATTTTTCCTTAAAGCAAAATAAAAGAAAGGAAAAGATGACAAAAATAGGCAGGGTGTGACAATTTAATTTCATCCATTAAATTCAAATAACTAATATTTTTAAATCCACATAATATGCTTAATTCTGTGCTAAGAGATAAAGAGGTTACAGACACCCATAGGACATGGGTCTATTCTGAAGGGCCTAGTATCTGGTTGGGAGATAAAACTAACAATAAACCAAGGTGGCCAGGCAGTTTATCAAGTGCCATCTTGGGTGACTCAGACTTTGGAGATTATAAATATTTGGAATTTGGGGCTGGAATCAATACTTCATTCATTCACCAAATATTTATTGAGAACCTATTATGGTTCTCTGTGAATAACAGTTTCCATTTGGAGTTTGCAATCTAATATAGGAAGTCAAGGGAAATAAGTGACTAATACAAGAATGGATTAAGTGCTAAACAGCAGGAGGATTTGTAGATGAGAAAAGGTTATTACTGTAACTTCCGAATGAAAGAGGAGGTAGGCTCATGAATGATTTTAAAGTAAAGGTATTATTTAGGTGAGCCTTGAAAGATGAGTAGGACTTTGAAAAGAATAGACTATTCTAGGCTGAAGCATGAGCAAGAGCATGACAGACATGAAAGGGCATAGTTTTAGGAGTGTGCTCAGATGGGACAAAGGATGTTTGAATGTAGTGCATTACTTTCCTAAAGGCTCTAGGGGTGAATCCCTTTCCTTGTCTTTTCCAGCTTCTAGAAGTCACCACAATCCTGGCTGGTGGGCCCCTTCCTCTCTTTTCGAAACCATTAATGTTACATCTCTCTAATCATTCCTCATAGTCACATCTCCCTCCTGACTCAACTCTCCTGCTTCCCTTTTCCAGTTTTGAGGGCCCTTGTGACTGCATTGGGCCCACTCGATAATCCAGGATAATCTATTTTAAGGTCAGGTGAATAGCAACCTTAATTCCCCTTTGCCATGAAATTTATATTCATAAGTTACCACGATTAAGACTGTGGACATTTTTGGGGAGCCATTAGTCTCCCTACCACAGGTACTAAGGAGAAGAAAGGAGGCCAAAAGAGGAAGAGGTGTGAATGCACTGAAAAGGGCAGTGGGGACCAGGTGCAAGTTTCTGAGGCTTGACATAAATTCTCATTTTTTTTGAAGATAGCATTGGCTGCAGCATAGAACACTGGACAGGCAATTTTGAGGAGCAACATTAGGAGGTCACAACTACAGTTGAGGTGAAACAGTCTAAGGCAGGGAGAGCATACCTGATTGTTTTATTGGCCTGACACTGCCTCTGCCAATTTCTAGGTGTTTTTCATCAAAATTCACGACATCATCCCACAAGATCAGAGCAATTGCAGTTTCTGGTAATTTGGCTGAATTTGTTCAGTAGATGCTGCCATCCAGGCCTTAAATCATCCACCTACAATCAACAAGAGGAGATCAGAACAGTGGAAAACCCGGGAGTTAGCAAGGCCTAAGCTCGCACAGAGCTCAACACTGAATTTTTTTTCTTTTGAGGAAGATCAGCCCTGAGCTAACATGGATGCTAATCCTCCTCTTTTTGCTGAGGTAGACTGGGCTCTGAGCTAACATCTATTGCCAATCCTTCTCCTTTTCCCCCCCCCCCCCCAAGCCCCAGTAGTTTATGTCATAGCTACACATCCTTCCAGTTGCTGTATGTGGGACGCTGCGTCAGTATGGCCAGAGAAGCAGTGAGCGGTGCACTCTGGGATCCAAACGCAGGCCGCCAGTAGGGGAGCCTGCCACTTAACCGCTAAGCCACGGGGCCAGCCAACCACTCAATTTTTTAACGGTCCAACTCGCAGGGAAAGCACGCAGTCCTGTTCCTAAGGTGCTTCCTTAACACGGAAACAAAGTGGGACAGCTGTGCCTGGCCTCAGTGAACAAAGCCTGACTGCTCGCCTACGATCAACAAAGCTCTTCCCGTCCTCCAAACCCTCCCGGAGGAGCCCCTTCCCGTCACCGCCCTCTTCTTCCTCTGCCCCCAACAGTTGGGTCGCAAGGACGGGAGCCCAGCACAGCTCAGGCTACTGACACCGCGTCCTAGACTCCACTACGTTAGCGCGGAGTCTCCGGAGCGCCGGGCATGGGGTGGGGACTGGGAGATTGAGTGGGAGGGAAAAAGCGAGGGGGGGCCGGTGCTTGCGGTCCCGTGCCCCGAGGCTGCTAGCTTCCGCGTTCGTCACTTCCGGGTGCGACCGCCGCTTCTGTCCGGCCGGGTGCACGCGTTCGGTTCCTGCGTCCTGTATCTGACCGTCTACACAACTGCCCCTTGCCTGTTCCCAACGGGAGGGACATGAGCGTCCCTGGGCCGTCGCCCCCGGACGGGGTCCTGACAGGGCCGCCCGACTGCCTGAGAGCCGGGGAGCCTATGCCGGGTAAGTGCCATGGGGCCAGGCGGGCGGCCGGGACCGAGTGGGAGGGTCTCCGGGGCCGCCCCGCGGGAGTAAGCTGCTTTCCGCAGCTGCGGCCCGAGGCTCTGGTCCACGCGCGGAAGTGGAACCGCGCCGGGCCCCCTGCCCAGCGGAGTGGGCGGGACGGGAGGTCTGGAGGGGAAGCGGTGTTTGGGGTGCGGTAGGAGGCAGTTGATGGCGAGGTCTTCTGAGTGTGTGTTGACTCCAGCACATTGTTGGCTCTTTGTTTTACATAAGTGGTTAAGGACTTGTAACAGACTGGAAAGTCCCATCACCCAGGTTCTTGGTCAGCGTGAGAGAGAATTCAGACACCGGCACAACGGCAACAGCAAGCAAGCAAAGATTTATTAGAGGAAAGGTCGGGTACACTCTAAGTGAGGAGCGGGCGGTGCCAGAGAACGCGTTTGCCCCGTGTCTTGGGTTAGTTGTATTTTCATTTGGGCTGTTCAGAAGGGAATTAGCATTATTTGGTTATCCGCCAATAATAGTTTCCTCCACCCACACGTCGGGAGGGAGAGTTCTAGACCTTTTAGGGGAATCTCCGGAACCGTCATGGGAGTCATCCCTCATGGAAGGGGGCTAATGCATATGGAATTTGTATGTAAATTAAAGAAAGGTCAGTGTCTTCTAGAGGTGTATAGCAGAAGGCTTTGTATGTGCTGTTTGTGCACTCGTTATTTTTATCCTGGTGGTTGAAGGTCTCAGACTCCGGTGGCGTCGCTAGGCGGCTCTCAGTTCCCCTTTATCTGCATCTTGTAGGGTGTCAGCAAGACGCTTCACTGATGCAGCAAGGTCTCCGCTATGATCCCCTGCTCATGTCTACCTAGCTACCTATCTCAGATGCATTTGTCAGAAAGGTGATCCGTTTGAAATTCAGAGAAGTGAGGTATCCAATATTATTGACTGCTCACTCATGAAATGCCCTGTCTTGCTTGTTGACATTACCGCATCCCTGTTCCTCCAGCAGTCTTTGTCATCTGGAGTTCCAGGGGAGATTTAAGCCCTAATGCACTAAGGCATCTGTTGAATGTAGTGAGTTGACTTGCTTTGCATCCAGAATGGTACTATTTACGTACTGTCCTTGGGAGAATTGAAAAGATAGCCACTCAGAGCAGTCTCTGTGTTACAGACGAGGAACCCTAGATGAGAAAGGCTGCAGGGCTTTGGATGTGCCTTTTCTTTTATCTCCTGTTCCAGAAATATAGGGATTATCCCAAAATAGTGCTCTCATCCGTTTCTTGGCCATGCTTTTCCTCAGTGATCTCCCCCTTTCTTCCCGCCTTCATAAGTTTCTTCTATAAGTATGACTTCTTTATAGATAGGTGCAGCTTGAGTTCCTTTCTTAACTCTTGCTTGCTCCTCCATCTGCTTGCTTACTCTGACATAGTTGTTTTGCACTAATCTTACATACAGCATGTACATAAATAAAAGCAGAAGTCTGATCCTGTTAATGGTGCCAAGTCACTTTCACTTGAAACTTTTACTCTTGACTCTTTCCTCTCACTTGCCTGCAACCTCTGTTAGGTCTAGGGGATTCTACTATACAATTTCCATCTCCTCTTTGTATGTTCACCCTATCACAACCATTGTAATACTAACACAGACCTCCAGTCTGTCTGTCCCCCTCCTGCACATGACTGCCCCAAGGTGAAGCTCCGATCGTGTCATTTCCTTGCTTGGACACCTTAAATGGCTCCTTATTACTTACTAAACATAGGTCCAACCCATTAGCTTGGCATTCAGGGGTCTTTGTAGCCTGGCCACATGGTCTTATAGCTCACTGCTGCATGTGCCCCATGCTCCAGACATCCCAAACTACCTTTTCTTTCCATAGATGCTATGAGAGATGCTTATATTGCATCTCTTCCCCTCCTTAGAATTCTTACCTCATTTGGAAATTGTAGTTTTCATAGATTGTTGGTAGGAGTATAAATTGGTGCCATTTCTTAGGAAGGCAGTTTTGCAATGTGTACTTTAAAAATGCATAAACCCTTTGTCTTATTGATCAATCTACTTCTAAGAATTTATCCTACAGAAAGAGTGACACAAATATGCAAAGTCAAGCAAGAAAGCTCACTGCAACATTGTTTGAAATTGCAAAAAGTGAAAATAACCTCAGTACCCATTTATGGGTGTCTAAGTCTACTCGGGCTTCTGTAACAACATACCATAGGCTGCGTGGCTTAAACAACAGCCATTTATTCCTGGAAGTTCTGGAGGTTGGGAAGTCCAAGATCTAGGTGCTGGCAGATTAGGTTCCTGGTGAGCACCTTCTACCTATCTTGCAGATGACTCTTTCTCACTGTGTCCTTACATGGTGGAGAGAGAGCTCTGGTCTCTCTTCCTCTTGTTTTAAGGACACCAGTCCCATCATGGGGGCCCTACTCTCATGACCTCATCTAAACCTAATTACCTCCCAAAGGCCCCACCTCTAAATACCATTACATTGGAGGTTAGGGCTTAAACATGAATTTTAGGGGGACACAAATGTTCAGTCCATAACATTAGGGAACTGGTTAAACAAATATGGTAGAATTCTATTCTTTTAAAAAGAATGTAGTAGATGCATATATGTTGATATGGAAAAAATACCTAAAAAATATATTTAAGAGAAAAGTTGCAGAATGAGATGAGTAATATTTCTTTTGTGATAAACACAGGGTCTGTGCCTGAGAATGCAAAGATACTTTCTTGAAGGCTCTGTAAGAAACTCCAGAGTAACTCTCTCTGGCATAAGGAGTGAGAAGGAATATTTTTACTTTTCAGCTTATGACCCCCACTTTTGTGTTTTAAGTTTTTCAATGAGTAACAGTTGAAAAGACATGCAAATTCCATCCATTTTTCAAGCTTCTTCAGCTCAAATGCCCGCGCTTCCCTGGTGAAAGTGAGCCTTCTCTCCTCTGAATTCCCATAACAGTTTCGCTTTCTTTAATGGCACTTCTCACATTCTCTGATTCCCTTGTATTGAGCCCTTTCAGGGAAGGGGATTTGCCTAGTTTATTGTTGTAACCTCAGAACCTAGTACATAATATAGATTTGCAGTATGAATAGGATAAGGACCCTTCTTTCTTTAATCTCCCACAATAAAGTACCTTGAATTTAGTAACTAAATGTATGTAGAAACATGAGTAACTTAGACTCTTCCAATAATTGACTAGAAGATGGGGGTGGGGGTGGGGGACGTCCTATGAGTTAAATGTATATATATATTGTAAGGGAAGTGTGTTAGTTGTTATTCCTTAAAGTTGAAATATCCTTATTTGGGTGTTCCTGTTTATCTGTAATACCTATGTTTTCTGTATTTTCTTAAAGTTGCTGCTGTTTGCACTGTTATTGTAATCAAGCCTTCAACAATGGCATTAATTCTTGCATATAATTTATTCACATCCCATCTGATGGTACATCAGTGGCAATACCTGTTAATGACCCACCTTTTCCATTATATTTTTATAGTATAAAAGGGCTTCAGTTTCTAGTTAGCTCTTACCTATTTGAATATTGCCTTGCAACTTTGAGAATTCCTAAGTTTGTTCATATGTTTCTGAGGATCAAAATAAAAATCATACTATTTTATTCTGATCTCTAAAAGCTTATTTTGAATATGACAGCATGTTGTTTTCCTTAATCTTGCTAAAATTTAAATCTGTAGTAAAAACTATGCTTGGAAATGGGCTAAAAGCGATATGTCGTGATAAAAGTATTCTATATAATGATCTAATTTGATGTCACTGATTATTACCAGATTATGATTGAAGAGAGATGTTTCAGAGTTTAATATTAGTTTAAAAATGCTTTTAGAGTACAATTTTGGTAGTGTGACCATCTCACTTTTCTTCCCTCACTCTAAACCAGTCATTCTAAAATCTTAGAAACTATTAATTGAACTTGGTTTAGAAATTGTTTTGTACTTTTTTTGATAGGAGTGGTGATTGATGGATATTCATTTTAGACATTTTGAATTCCTGGTACAGTGCTTACACTGTTATTATTCAAAGGAAAAGTATGAGGCATAGTCCCTGGCATCACGTCCAGAATGACACACGAGGCAGTTATCCTACACTATTTTCTATGGTAAATTAAGGTGCTGAATCTCAAGAGAGGAGAATTTCTCTCTTAACAAATGATTAAAAAACCCACCTCTTTTATATTTAAATGATATATCAAGCTATATGCAAAATAAATGTTGACCATATTTTTACTTCCATAGAATTGAAAACAAATATTTTTAGGCATTGCATTTTTTAAAATTTCTGCATTCTTTTGAAAGCAAGAATTTCTTGCTTTAATTTAGTGGTTGTTTCCCACTGTTAGTCCTCAGACTCCTTTACTAATCCATTGAAAACTAAATCCTATGCCCTGAAAAATACATAAATATACAGAATTTTGCATGTTAATATTCTTTTAACCTAGACTTTACCTTATACTAGTAGCTTAGAAACAATTTTTGAGTACTCATAACCCATTTTTTAGAGGAAACTCAGAAGGTAAAAGTTAAAAAAAAGAAAAGCAGGGTATGTGTATTCTCCTGTGTGTGCATGCTGAATCCACTTTCAGCCTCCTTCCCTCCCTTGCTACTACTCTCTTACCTCTTTGTCAATTTAAAAGCTTCCTAAATTTGATTTTTGCTTGGGGACAGGTTTAAGTGACACTTCTCCAGATGAAGGGTTGGTAGAGGACCTGACTGTAGAAGACAGAGCTGTGGAGCAACTGGCAGAAGGGCTGCTTTCTCACTACCTGCCAGATCTGCAGAGATCCAGACAAGCCCTCCAGGAACTCACGTGAGCTAACCAAAACCATTGAAGCACTCATTTCCGCTCGGGCATAGTCATAATTGACTGTATAAGTGTATACTGTATTAAGGTATATTTTGTAACATTTAATACAATCAAGTATTTCTGTATCTTTAGTGATAGCAAATGGAAGTGGAGGAGTACAAATGTAAAAAAATGTGAAGTGAATAGTACTAGAGTGTTTGATCTCTTCTAAGAAGTACCGCTAAATCTTATGTAGACTCTAGTTAGTTTTGGTGTTTTACCATTATTTTATGAAAGTATTGCCTATTGGGAATGTTGCAGGATGGGTATACAACTGTTTCTGAGTAGAGTTGAAAAATTACCTCTGTAAGAGTCACAGTTGTTTTCATTTGCTGGTTCACCTGAGTTGCCAGAAATCCTTAAATACCTTTTTTTGAGGTGACCCATTTCATTCCTGGTAGATAACTCTACTAGCTAAATAAAGGGTTGGAGGATATGCTAAGAGAGGAACAAGATAAGAACAGAACCCATAGAGTGGGACCAGTATGCAAAAATTTACTCTCTGACTTTATCAGCTCCCACCTGGAAACAGCAGACTTAACTTCTGCTTCCTCCTGGATCAGGGCCTCTCTGGATGCCCAAGCTGGCCTGTCATTTCTTTTTGTGGTGGTCAGCTTTAAACTGGCTGTCCAGTGCTGCTGCTCTAAGACCTACCCTTTGAAAACTTATCTCAAAAGGCTGTATGAGGGCAAAAGGAGAGTAAGAATCAACAACTGTGTCCATTTTATAAATATTAGTAAATAATGTTATAAGTCTTGGAATTATATAATTCTATGAATTCTTCAAATCTTGGATTTGAAGGTGATAAATGAGTATAAAAGTGGTACTGTGTTCTACTACATGTGGGGCATTACGTTACGTAGAGTTGGCAACATTTCTTGGTTTTCTGCTAGTTCCAAGTGAGATTTTTTATCCCTAGTGTGTGGTATGCCTTATATTTTGACCCCAGTCAATGCTTGTGGCAAAAAAGTCATAAAGATTTTCTGGGGGAGTTTGGATAAGGTAAGATAGACTGAAGGAAGGTAAGAAAGTCTGCAAGTAAAACATATCTGGATACCACTTTACTCACAAGAAGCTGGGAATCAATGTTTAATTGCAGGGTTTAATTGATGAGGACACTGGCTAAAATTTAGTATTTTGAATAACCCCATTTATCTTCCTAGGCACCCAGACAATCATGATGATGATGATGATGATGATGATGATAATGATAAAATCAGCTACTGTTTATTACTATATGTACTACATGCTCAGTACTTTATATACTATATCTCAGTTAATCCTGACACCCACTTTATGAAGTATCTAACATTATTCCCATTGACAGTTGAGGAAACTGAAGTCTGTGAGGTCAAGTAACTTGAAAAAGATTACACAGGTAGTGGTAGAATTAACAATTGAATATGATGAATAAGTAGTTATTATACTTCTTGAGTGTTAAGGAAATATAAGCAGATTTCAGAGAAAGGAAAAGGAGAAATGTTTCCTAGTAGCTGCCTCTTTCATCCATCTCTCCACAAATTTCACTGTTGATGAAGATGTAGGGGAGAGAGTACTGGACTGAGAGGTACCTGGTTCTAGTCCTGGCTCTGTCATCAAACAGTTTAATCTTCATTAAGCCACTTTATCATTATAGAAACAGACCTACAGAGGTGAAAGAGAAGATAAAAGATGGAAATTAAGTTTACTGTGTAGCTAACAATGAGTAAGGAAGACCAAGATAACAAATTTAGTTTTATATGTAAGAAGGGCTATGGAGCATCATGGTGGAGTAAGCTTCCCCTGTTGAACTCTGCCCCTCTAAGACACAACAAAAAGGACATTCATATTCCAACAGAAGCTATTCACACAACACAGGGGACATCTGAGGCACTCAGGCAGCCATACACCCGAGGACGGAGGGGCTGGAATCCCCAGAGGAAGTGGAAGGAGTTCTAGCTTCTTTGGCCCCGTGG